ACCCTTTCTTCCTTTGAAATTATAGAGGAAAAGAAATGTTGAATTTGGTATAAGCCTTTATTTCTCTACATTTTGGTCCTGTCATTTCTCTGCCTTTTGCTTTTAGGTCTTTCACTCTTTCTTTCTGGGTTCTTCATATACACTTTGATCCTTAAGGCTGCCTTTATGCAGAACAACCACTTTCAGTAATTTGTCCTTCCGTAATTTTAACACTTTGTATCAGCAGTAGCTCCATCCGCTATTGCTACCATTTTTCTTAGAGAAAAGTTGCTTTAAATCTTGTTTCCTTTTTCTGCCAACTTCAATTTCCGTGTTTCTTTTCCTCGTTTTTTCATTAAAAATTTTTTTGCGTAATGATTAAGGTGTTTGTGAAATGTAAGCACTGTTAATGTTCCAGCTTTTTACTGCAGTTAACATTGTGGTCTGTGTGTTCCATTACATGCTTACCCAGTGGGATTATACTCGATGTGTATTTAGCAACTTGGTTTTTTTCCCCACTTAGTAAATCACATACATACAGTAAATCACATTATCTGGATTTTGTTCTCATTAGACTACACTTGTTTTGGTTCTCATTACACTGTGATTGTTCAGAAACAATGAAGTTTATTATGGTAGAACCAGAGGATCCTCTCCTTGGGTCAGATTCAGATCTGCCCATACACAGTGAGCTATAGATTCCTCAGTGGTTGTATAGAAGGCATAACAAAATACTTGTGCTTAGAATATTTGGGCAGTTATCTGTCTTTCTTCAAGTGTGCCTTAATAATAGAACTGACATGTTATTACAGTTATCTTTTGTATATCTTTTGTTTTTCATGTTGTAGCTTGGACAGCTTTTAGCAGCTACATGCAAAGAACTTCCAGGCCCTAAAGAAAGTAGACGGACTGCTAAAGACCTTTGGGAAGTTGTTGTTCAGATCTGTAGTGTGTCCAGTCAACACAAACGAGGAAATGATGGCCGAGTTAGTTTAATAAAGCAGAGGGAATCTACATTAGGGATAATGTATCGGTATGTTTCTATTAGTTTTTTGTTGCTTATTATTTATTCTATTCATACTATTTCAAGAGCACCTACCATTACTCTTATATATCATAAGGATGGACAATGTAAGGATTCGCTGTAGCTGATCTCTAACAGACATGTCTGATAATGGCCACGTTTGGAAATACTTTATGTTTATATGTTATTTTAAGAGAATTATTTATATAATCAACTGAATTAAAAATGAACAATGTCTACAGTTGGATAGTTCTGAAGATGTCATGTGATTAAAACGGAGGACTTTTTTTAGGTTAGTATACAAATAGAATATTCTCTTTCATACATGTGGAACTGGAGAGTTAGGAATAAAATTATATCCATAATTTTATTTTTAATTTCTGATGTTAAATGTGCATACAAAAATTTGTGTTTTTTGCAGGAGTGAACTGCTTTCTTTTATCAAAAAATTACGGGTGAGTTTTATAAAAATTGATCTAATTACTATTGCTGATTTTTGTGGAATATGACTAAAAATATTGAGTGCTTACATACTGATTATTTAAGTGATCTGTTAATGTGCTTATTTAGTGATCATTTTTGAGGATGGGATAATCTGAATGAAGAATTTTATTTTGTATTTACTTAAGCATGTTTTAGTGAATGGAACAGGAAGTTGTAAAGAAGTCTTCATAATAGGGATAGATGTGTGAAGCCAAACTTTTTTGTTTGATATGATTAATGTCATATTTATTTAGTGCACATAACAGAGATTCCATCCTTTAAATATTTTAAGGAATAAAAAATGAATTTTTTTAGAGGTAGCCGAAGGTATTAGTTGGAAAGAGGTCTATATACTCAGTTTGAAAGTTATGTGAGAACTGGAGCACCATATGCCAGATATCTAAATGTGGTAATTTTTGTGTAAATTGTGTGTTGTGATTTCTTTCATGAAATTAAAAATAAAACTGATCTTTGGTGTGCACTAACCTAAAGCAGATGGTAAACTTCAAAAGAGTAAGAATCCTTTGAAAGAAAATGCTTGGTATCCCTGGGGTGGATGGGAGAAATATTAAAATATATGTAGTATTTAAGGATTCTGTGTTTTCTTTCTCATAGGAACCATTGGTTTTGACTCTTATTTTATCACTCTTTGTGAAACTTCACAATGTTCGGGTCAGTATTTTATAATTTTATTTAGAAAAAATCTTTAAAAGAATTTTCTTTTAAATGACTTTTTTTTTTTAAAGGAAGACATCGTGAATGATATTACAGCAGAACACATTTCTATTTGGCCATCTTCCATCCCCAAGTAAGAAGTATTATAACTCATGTTTTATTAAATAAGTTATTTAGAAACTATGCTTACTAATATAACTATGAATAATTTGATTAAGAGGCTTTGATCTTTTAATTGTACAGTCTACTTTGTGTTTCTCTATTACAGTAATTATTTTCCTAAAAATATGGATAAGGCATAACTAAGAGCTAAGATATACCAGCCTTAAGTAGAATAAAGATCTTTAATGATCGTGATGACTTGTCAGTAGGTAGAATTAGAAAATGGAGTCTAATAAAAGAATGACTTTCTGTCAGGTTTCTAGCATCTTTTCTCGCTTATAAGGATCTATTTGAAAATGATTTAAAAAAAAAATTCCTTGTCAGTCTAACACAGTGCCTGACACTGTGATTATCAGAGACTCTCAACCCCTTTTAGTTGCCTTATATTCTTTAATTACTTTAAGAAATCTTTCCCCTTACTTTGCTCACCTGAGAATCAAATATGATGATGGGTGAAATTTTTTTTAGAGGAAAAAAAAAGTTCTTTTTTGGGAAGAAGAACCGATTTATATTTTTCTCTTCCCAAACATAGCAGCTTGTCACTAGAGTTCCTTTTCCCTCCATCCCTTCCCCTCAGTCTTCTTACCTTGTGTCTGAAAGGCAGGTCTTGGCCTTATTTTATTGCTTTTAATGGCATCTTTGGATTAAAAAATATTTTAATAGGTCGGTAAGCAGGCAATAGAAAGAGAGTAATTTTCTTTAGTGACCCTTCCCTCCACTTTCTGAAGCTTGCGTCCCAAAGGTGCACCATGCCACATGAGGCAAATGTGCTCACTCCATAACATTCTGATGGCAGCTTTTTAAAAATAGAAAATTTGATGTAGTAGACAGCAATCCAGGAATCAAGTAGAGAGCATTTTGCCTTTCTAACCGGTGGTTGTAATACCTCTTTGATGTTACTTCTTTGGTCTAAGACTGTAAACTAATGATTGATTTTTCAATGTATGTTTATAAATGAGACAATATGGTTCAAGTCCCAGTCTGTCCACTTATCAGATATTATGACCTTGGATAAGTCTCTCTCTGTGCCAGTTTCCTCATCTGTAAAATGGATATAAGAAAAGTACCCACCTCAGAATTGTTCTCTGTGCTAGGTGTTCAGAAAAAGAACTGGCATATATTATAGTAGGCTTACCCATTATCTTCACAATAAAATTACTTTAATATAAGTTGACCAGGAAAAGATAAAATGTGACTAAATGTTTGACCAGAAAAAGTTTTTGAGCAAGATTCTTTATTGACTCCAAGAATAGTGTGAGGATGCATGGATCAATATTACTATTTGAAAATTGATTATGTAAACAGAATTCTTAGACTTGTAATATTTTGTTAATTTCTATAAAATATTATAAACCAGTTTAACTCATTTACTTGTAAATAAATAATTGGTTATTTGCTAATATCACAAATTATTTCCCACTATACTGGGAACACTGGTAAGTCATGGTAAACTCTAACCCCTCAGGGCAACAGAGGTACTTTGTCCAAGTTCACCTTATAAATGGTAGATCCAGGACTTGAACCTCAAGTGTGTTTGAATCCTCCAGAGCCTGTGTTCTCTACCACTGTGCCTTACTGCTTCTGGGAGGTAGGAGCTATCAGCTGTGTTTCTTGGGTGCTGGCCTAGCTTTTATCTTCAGAGTTCCATCTTCTAATTCTGTATCTCAAGACTTCTAGGTTTAAGCAAGCTCAGAGCAGCTGGCTCCATTCCCTACCCTTTTTTTGATTATTGGCTACTGAATGCACTGAAGAGGGTCAGTTGCCTAACTGTGAGGGCCAATGAAACTTCCAATCCAGGGGAGTTACTGGTACAAGAAGCTACAAAGGGGATTTAAGGACACATAGCAGTATTGTTAGTGTTTGAATCCTGGCTTTTTGTGACTTCTAGATACCAGAACTTAAAAATTATTTGGGGAAATTTTGTCAGTTTGCTTTTTAAATTTTGGTGTCACTACATAGTTGGTGAAAAGTGGAGATGGGTTTTATCCTACCACTTTAATTTGCTTTTTAAATTGTAAAATATATTAAGATACAGTGGACCCTTGAACAATGCAGGGTTTGGGGGTACCAACCTTCTGCATAGTAAAAAATCTGTTAGCTTTTGACTTTCCAAAAATTTAACTAATAGCCTACCATTGACCTTACCAATAACAGTTAATTAACACATATTTTGTATGTTATTTGTATTATAACTGTTATCTTAGAATAAAACAATTTTTTCAAATTGGAAAATCTCCAAAAATTTTCTGTATATCAAATATGTATCTGCATATTAATAGACCTGCATAGTTCAAACCTGTGTTGTTCAAGGGTCAGCTGTACTTTTCTAGGGTGGTCTGGTCTACCTTCTTTGGCATTTTGGAAAAAAAAAAAAAGGGAACCAAAATCAGATTGTAGTCAACTTATAAAAAGCTTATCACACTTTGTCAGACTTAGTTGTTTTGACAGTTTTTACTCCTAGTAATGCTTAACATTGTATTTACTATGGTCACCTGAATTTTGGCCAAGTCTTTTTGTTATTGTTTATAATAAATGTGTATATGAAATTTGAAGACTCTTAAAATAGAAATTAATGTTCATTGTCTTTCTTTTAGCCTCCAGTCAGTGGACTTTGAAGCTGTGGCAATCACAGTGAAAGAGCTAGTTCGATATGCCCTTAGTATAAATCCAAACAACCATTCCTGGTTAATTATTCAGGCAGACATTTATTTTGGTAAGTGAGATGTACGGCTGCTTTGTGTTCCGTCTTTGTGGCATTTTTACAAGTGAAAATAAATATTTTATTATAACACTTGACTAAACTAAAGTTGTGTTTTTCACATTATCTAACTTCTTCCTAGATAAAATTAAGAGAATAAAACTAATTGTGAAATGTTATGTGTTTTTCTGTGTATAACCTTTGGTTCAGATACTTTTAATTTCATGCTGACTACATTTTTTCTGTTTTTTAAAAATAGTGACTGTTTAATAAGTTGATAAAACATTTTTGAGAAAAGAGTTAATGTTTTAGCTTGCAAAGTGGCTTTTTAAAAGTTCTAAATCTGTCCACTCTTGGTAATTATTTATATACTTAGAATTAGATTCCTAATCCTCTCATACTTCTACTTATTTGTAATAGATTTTCCAACCTGATAGCAAATTTCCAATATTTCTGTTACTATAACAGATCAAATAAAATTTCTGACTGATATTTCAGGTTCAGTTTTTTAGGAGTTGGTTTTTTTTTTTTTTTTAAGAGAAAGTTCAAAATATAAGAATAGAATAGTATAGTGAACTCCCATGTATCTGCCATGCATGTAGTCACTCAGCACTAGTCTCATTCCATCTATACTCTTCCCCTATGGTGTCCTACTGTGTCCTGGATTACCTTTGAAGCAAATAATTGCCAATTTTAATGCTCTTTTTCACCTGCCCCCAAAGGAATTTATTACCAATTGTAGTATCTATATTCAGAATAGATTGGCTGATTATAAACTACCTCAGAAATTAAGGTGTTTCTAGTATGGATATTTGGAAAATAAATACCTCCAAATATGAAATTCTTTATTAGTAAGTTTGATAAGAAATCCTAGTTAAATTTTTGGCTAAACAGTTTTAGAAGGCAAAGAATCTATCACATAACTTCCTTAAAGTGGTTCAAAAAAATAATAAAGGCAGTTATTCTCAGTGTTGTCCTGGATAAGTGCTGTCCTTACCTATATCTGTGGCTTGAATCTGTTTTTGCCAACCTATGAAATAATACTTGACACATTACCAAAGAGGCTCTGTCTGTTTTTCCAACTGTTGTATCTAGTGATAGGTAATTCTTTATCCTGTTTTGTATTTCAGCAACAAATCAGTATTCAGCAGCTCTTCACTATTACCTCCAGGCAGGAGCTGTGTGTTCTGATTTCTTTAATAAGGCTGTGCCCCCTGATGTTTATACAGACCAGGTAGATTAATTTTGTGGGTTTTCTTTCTCCTTGTCTGTCTTTGAATATTCTTCCTGGGCCTCCTTTTGGGTGAGTTTTTAAATGTCCATGTATGTGGTGGTAACTCCCAAATTGATTGCTTTAGACCAAATTGCTCTCCATATATCCAGTGCCCATAGCCACTTAGATTTCAACAAAACACCTAAAACTCAATCTGCCCCAAACTGATTTCAGCATCTTACTTTATTGGTCTTCCCCTACCAAAGAAACAAAAAACCAACCCAATTTACCAAACACCTCATTTTAACTATTTGAGTTAAATTAACTAAGTCCAAATCCTGAGTGTCCTCTTTAACTGATTCTCCCACCAACATCCAGTTAGCCTTCAAAGCATATTGATTGTTCTCCTAAATCTCAAATTTTGTTCATTTTCTTTAGGTATGTATTGCTCTTTCTTTTGGTTTAGGCCATAATATCATTGAGTAAGTGACATTTTTTAGAACTTACAATAAATGCCTTTTGAGATAAAATTTTTAGTGAACTAGTATTTTAGAAATTGAAAAGTTGTATTTTTTAGATTCTCAGCAAAATTGAGTGAAAAAAAACCTGAATTCTCATATACTCCATCCCCAAACATGCACAATCTGCCCCACTACTGACATTCCACATCAGAGTGGTACATTTGTTACAATTATCTTTGGTTAAATAGATTAACTAGTTTTTGAAAATAATCAGAGTTTTGTTTTTGTAGGTAATAAAACGAATGATTAAGTGCTGTTCTTTGCTGAATTGCCACACACAGGTTAGCTTACAATGTTATGATTCATTTATATTCTAGAGTTTGTACTATATTAGCATTTATAACAAATATAAAGCATTGGACTGGGAAGTAGCTTTTATTTATTTTCCATATAATAATTGCTTGAATTTATGGTGTTGAGGAATTTGGTCTATTTAAAATTTTTTTAGGAGTTTATAGAATTTTACCTAAAATGAAAGTATGAACTAGGAAACATTGGTTCTTGAGCCTTATAGGTGGAAAAGCAGCATTCTCAATTTTTTTTTTTAAATATTGAAGAGTAGATATGTACATTAGTCATTAGGGAAATGCAAATCAACATCACAAGATACTACTCAGGCTCAACTAAGATGGCTATACCTGAAAGACAGTAAGAAATGCTGGTGAAGATGCGGAGAAATGGGAACCCTTATATGTGCTGGTAGGAATATAAAATCAGACAACTATTTTGGAAAAGTTTTGTAGTTCCTCAAAAATTTAAACATAGAATTACCATATCACCTCGCAATTCCATTCCTGGTATATAACCAAGAAAATTGAAACCATATGCCCACAGCAAATTTGTACATGAATATTCATAGCAGCATTATTCATAATAGCCAAAAAGTGAAAACAGCTCAAGTGTTCATTAACTGATGAGTGGATAAATAAAATTTGGTATATCCATACAGTGGAATAATTTTCAGCCATAAAAAGGAATGAAGTTCTGATACGTGCTACAGTAGCAATGAATCTCGGAAATATTACATTGACTAACAGAAGCCAGATACAAAAGGCTTTGTATTGTATGATTCTGTTCATATAAAATGTCCAGAATATGCAAATCTGTAGAGTCAGTGTGGATTAGTGGCTGCCAGATACTGGAGGGAAGTGAAATGGAGGGCACTGCTGATGGGCAGAGTTTTTGTGGGGGATAACAAATGTTTTGGAATTAGATACTGGTGATGGTTTACAACTTTGTGAATATACTAAAAAAAAAAAACACTGAATTGTGCACTCTAAAAGGGTGAATTTTATAGTTCGTGAATTAAAAGATCAAAAATATTTTTAAGAGAGATCAGCATAATGACCTACACACTTGACTGAAATGGATATATTTTCTGTTGTGCAGACTGACAGTCTAAATTTTGCCAAAATGAGCTGCTGTGCTTGCCAGCTATGAAAGATTTAATTGCATGATCTGTATGTCCTTGAATGTCATGATACTTTTGTTTGGTGGTTTTCCATTCTGTTCAGTTTTCAGAACTGGCTTTTTGCCAGCTTCTCATTCAGATAAACAAAGCTCAGAAAATTAATGATTTAGGTCACCAATGGATAAAATATTGGGCAAACATTTGTATAAAAGTTCTTGCAGTTAAAATCAGATGGAATTCATAAATATGAACTCATCCACTCAGAGTAATCTGCAAGGCCTTGTAAATAATATATTCTTGATATAAGAATCATTTAGAAATTACCCCTCCAAAACTAAGAGAGTCATTGTTGAAACTATTTTCAAATCCTTGTTTATATAGGTGGCAATTTTATGTCAGTTCCTCAGAGAAATTGACTACAAAACAGCCTTTAAATCACTGCAGGAACAAAACAGGTATGAATGATTTTTAAAATTAAATGAAGTGAAATTTTTCTGCCTAAGAAAGAAGTAGTAACTGAATTCTATTTTTTAGTCATGATGCTATGGACTCCTACTATGACTACATATGGGATGTTACCATTTTGGAATACTTGACTTGTATCCTTTTAGCAACATATGTGATATTAGTACAGATAATTTCCATAAATTAAAGAAGTATACAGTACTGTGTATTTTGTAAATTAAAACTGAAAGAGTTGAGTCTATTGTGGTATTTAATAGTATCAGATTTATTATTCTTAACTGATTTGTTTAGATCTTCATCATAAAAGAGGAGAAACAGATAAAAGACAAATTGCAGTAAGTTACTTTATGCCTTTCTTCAGTGATGTACTTAATTTCCCTGATACTAGAACATTGTTGAGATTTGGACCAACAAAAAAAGACCTTGTGTGACTAGTTACTGCCAGAGTGTGGTTATCTGTTTACTTTTTTAAAGATGCTGTTTTGATAATGTGAGCTTTTAACTAAATTTTATGTTAAAATGTTAGATTGTGTCCTCTTTGCTTCAGATCTTCAAGTGGTTTCCCACGTCAGGGTCCTTACAGTGGTCTACAAGGCCATGTATGACTTCACCTCTAGCTGTTCATCCAACCTTTCCCCTTGGGACTGTACCAACTACCACAGCTTCTGCTACACCAACACCCCTGCTATTATTTGAACGTTCCAAGAACATTCACTACTGAAGGGCCTTTGAAGTTTTCTCTTCTGGGAACATGCTTTAACCTCCTTTAGGGCTCTCCTCTTATGCCACCTTCTTGGTGATCATCCTTTGCTGACCATTTTATAAAATAGCAGTCTCTTTCCCCCTTTTCCCTCCAATACCATTATTTAATTTCCCTTTAAAATGTTTTCTCTATAGCAGTTCATCTATATTTGACTTACTTATATACTTATTTTTTGGCTATTTCTCCATGAAGGTAGGGACTTGGTTTTGTCATAGCTGATACCTAGAATGGTGCCTGGCCTATAATAGATGCCTAAGAGTTGCTGAATAGATTAATTACTTAAATTTGACTTATAAGCCAATATATATTATAAATTTTATGACCATTGTTTTTTGCCCAGCATTTGCTGCATTAGGATCACCACAGATATTTTCTTTACTCTTTCACTCATATTAACAGAAGTATATGCTGCTTATGAAGTGTCTATTAAAGCTTTGTACTTAGACTTAACTGTATGACCATTACTTAGATGAAACAGAATATAACATCTTTAAAAAACAAAGAGGAAAAAGAGCATGAAGCCAGCTCTACTTCACTGGAGGCTACTCTTGCTTCCATTTCCAATTTATCCAGTGCTTGGAAGACAATACTGAAGTGTTCCCAGTCCTATTTCCAAACCATCTCTACTTGTATCATTTTAAAGACCTTCCTCCTTAGAAGCATATACCTACGTCTTTACTAGCTCATCTAACCAACCTCCTGGTTAGCATCAAAAGATATGTGATGAACTTACCCAACATCACTAGCTTTACAGGTTCCATTGTCACCTTTACTCTGCATTAGCCACTAACACCCATAGCCATGCCTTATTGTCAGTCAGAATTGTTCTACAGATCTCTCTGCCAGTAATCTGTCCTTCTTTTACTTCCTAGCTCCCATGATCAGTGAATTGTCCAAATTCAAGACCAATTTTCCCCTAGTCCGTCAGCCCTCTCCCACTTCCCCCACTTTCCCTCCTTACCTTGAACACAGCCGTGTGTGCACTCTCAGAGATGCTGATTTAGTTTATTTGAGATGAGGCCCTGGAATTGTTTTTAGGTGTCCCAGGTAGTTCTGATGAAAAACTAGATTTTGAGACCCCTGTAAGCTATGGTCAACTGTCAGAACTATTCTGATCAATACTTTTCAGCATCTCTTTTTTGTCTTTCACCTCACCTGGAAAAGTCCTAACCCTGAGTCAGTTAAGAAATGTATGCCTTTTCTTCCTGAGCCACTGAGTCCTGTTGGAGAAAGTCCTTACAACTATGTAAACTGGTGTCACTACCAAACCCTGGTGTCCACCCTTAGCTGGCCCCTTATTCTTTTCAGGGACTGTTTCAGACTTCCCCGTTAAGTCTCCTGTCCACTCTCTCTTTCCCATATTTCCTTGCCTGTGTTTGGAGTAGGCCAGGAAAAAAAAAAACGACCAGCTCCTGTCTTCATGGAAGTTGCAGTCTTGGGAATTGTGGCCCCATGAGTACCAGCTTCAAATTCCTTTGAAGTCCATTTCCACCTTCAAAATAACCTATGGCTGTACTCATCATTAAGCCCAAACATTTAATAAAAAATCATTCCACTCCTTGATGAAGGCAGGTTTTTATGCTTTTGATTCTGTCCCTTCAGTGGCCGTTTGGTTCTCTCCTCTCCCATATTGTCCACCTCTCCCATAGCCAATGAACTGTTTCACCCTTAAAAACTTTGACTGCCTCCACTTCCTTCTCTTATCCCTTCTCTTTCTAGTTTTTTAAACTGCAGTTTGACTTCTATCCAGCACCACTCTTAACTGTTCTCTCAAGGGTCAGCAAATGCCAAAGCCAGTGGATACTTTCAGTCCTCATCCTGTTGTTTACATCTTCTTCCTCCTTGAAATTCTCTATTTTGGCTTCTGACATCATTTTTGCCCAGTTCTTCCCCTGACTGTTCTGTCTTTTCTTCTTTGTGATTATCTCCCTGTCTACCCCTTAAATTTGTTTTCCCCAAGAAGTTAGTCCTTGGGTTATTTTCTGATTGCCCTACATTCTCTCATCTATTCATGGTTTTGATTTCTAACCACATGGGACATATTAGATATATTATTTCTCTCAAATATCTGGCTCCTATTTCAACTTACACTTGAGACTTTTATAACCAGTCCTTTTTGGGATATTTTGTTTGAAACAAGTCTTTAGTTATACCTCACTACCAGGCTTTTCCACATGCATTCTTTCATACTGAAATGCCACCCTGTAACAATTCCTCCTACTCCCCTAACCTAAGGCTTATCTCTGAACAGTCTTAGCTCCCTTCAGGCTACATATCAGCATAGTCCTTGTTTAAAGAAGTTCTGCTTGTTTTTGTTTTATCTAAAGGTAATTCTAAGGTCCTAAAATATGCTCTCATAAAACATTCCATGGCAGAATAATGCTGCAGAATTTTAGTAGGCATATGGTATTTCTAATCATGAAAGAAATGAGTCGCTATATGATGTTATAGTGTTGAACAGCTAGCTGCTTTTTCATGTTAAAAAAGTGAAGATCTGAAATATGAAATTTTACTTTTTCAAACTGTTTTGTAGGAGCCTTACTTACTGGTATTTTTAGTCAAACTTACATGAATTTATTGTTACTGAAGATACAGTAGTCCCCCCTTATATGCAGAGAATGTTTCAATACCCCCAGTGGATACCTGAAACCACAGGTAGTACTGAAACCTATATATACTGTGTTTTTTCCTATACAGTATATAATTTGGGCACAGTAAGAGATTAACAACTAAAAACAATTGTAATACACTGTAATAAAAGGTATGAGAATATGGTCTCTTTCAGAATATTACTGGACTGACCTTATGTGTGAGATGATAAAAGGCCTACATGAGATAAAGTGAGGGGAATGACGGAAGTAGGCATTGTGACATAGTGTTAGGCTGCTTCTGGCCTCTAGACCATGGATAACTGAAATAGCAACCTTGGGGAAGACTACTGTAATTCCATAAACTATTGTTCGGCAAGTGATCCTTAAGTGTTACTGTAGTCAGTCTTTGTTAATTTTTTCCACATCTCTTAGTATTTATGATTAGAGGTTCAGTTAATATAAAACTACTTATGTGTTAACAAAGTTAGTTTAATGATTATGTATACTAGCAAGACTTTGACAGAGACTTTTAATACCACTTTTCTGTTTTTTAAGATTAAAGCCATCGGCCAGACAGAATTGAATGCAAGCAACCCAGAAGAAGTGTTACAACTGGCAGCACAGAGAAGGAAAAAAAAGTTTCTCCAAGCAATGGCAAAACTTTACTTTTAAGCAGTTAGTTAAAATTTTTCAACTTTTATTTTTAAACAGTGGGCTAAAACAGTATTAAAAGATTAAGTTTATATAATACATATGTACGTACTTAGTGGTGTTTTCAGACAAAATACTGAAGCATTAGTTTAAAACCAAAAACTATACAGAAGACTTTATACCATAACAATAGCTTAATTGATAATTTCTTCAAAGGAAGAAGAGATTTACATACCTAATACTAGAATAAACTAGAAATCAGTATAATTTCTTTTCTAATTAAGTCCACATTTGAGGTTGAAGTTTCATTTTTAAAAAAACTGAAAGTAGCTAGCCTATATACAGCAAAGTCTTAATTTTTTTTTTTAATAAATAAATTTGTAGGAGTCAGTATACATTTACTACTTCTATGCCTTAAGGAAATAGTTTAGGTCAAGTGTTAAGCTTTATCACTTTGACACTATTCTTAACTCATAATGTAGGAATTTAAAAAGAACCTTAAACAGTTTTGCAAATATAAATAAAGCCTAAGTCACACTAAAAAAAAAATCCTTAGGGATATCTTAGAGTAATAAAGTGGCTTTCTCATATAAATAGTTTGAGAGGATACTGAAGTTTTTAACCCAGATTGTGATATATAAGTTATAAAGCAACCTATGTCAAAGCCCCAAGGAGGAGCCACAACATTTATCTTGTTTATAATTTCTTTGGTATTCCCCCTGTACAGAGCATAGCTTAAACACCATGTTCATTTAAGCCTTAATGGTTATGGCAAGGCAAATAAACTAGTTAAACAGATTAAAGTTCACCGTTTGTAAAAAATCAAGTTTTAGAATAGCTTGCTACAGCAGCTGTAATTAGTCACCTTATTACAAAATTAAATCTTTGTAAACAAGTTTAAATTTAATTTCTAAGAACCAAATTGCACTAGTCAAGAGTATTAATTTTGAGAATCTTAAAACTAGATTCCAAGTACTGTACCCTTTAAACTAATACTTTTATAGTCCAGAACTCCAATGATAAAATTCCTAGTTTATCAAGATAAAAATAGTAACACTGGATCAAAAAAAATTGTTATGGCATAAACCATGGTTGGCCTCTATCCAGTCACCTTGGGAATGAAGTAATCTTTGTAAACAAGTCCTGCTGTTTCTTTAAACAGCTAACAGGAATTAAATAAGTTTCTTCCTTAGTGCCAAATTTAAGTGGTTTTTTAAAATCAAAGAATGGCAGTGAAACTTCTGAATTGGCTAGGACAGACAGCACTATTCTCCTGTAAAAGTTTAGTAGTTCAGTTATATGAAATTCTACCCAGTACTTGGTCAATTCCAACTTATTTGCTTAGTTAACTTCTTTAGTGTTTTCCTGGTGGTTTTTCAGTACTCTTTGGTGGTGTCATAATGCCTCCACTGCACACTGGTGACAACTGTCCCTCCTTCCTAAAGGTATTCATGTAATTTACTTCATCCTGTACATGGGAAAAAAATCATTCAGAAATTAACAGCTAAGATAAAGCACTGACATAGTAAAACAAAGTCAAACCAGACTTTTCGGTACTAATTTGAAACCACTTAGGTGTAAGACAATGGTCTCTGTCTTTACAACTATGACTAGTCATATTCTAGAGGTCCGACAATTTAAACTGCCTGTAACTATATTTTTTTAAACTCTTGACTAACTAGCATTGATTGTGAGACATTTCAGAAATCCTGCTTTTGCTGCAAAGTTATTTAACTTTTCTACATTGTGAAATCCATAGGCCCATTAAACTCTCTCTCCCCTTACCATCTTATATAACTGCCTGAAGCATTAACTATTCCATTGTATCATTTATCAGTGATTTACTGGATAGTAATACCAAAAAAACCCATAAGAACATACCAGCATAGCCAGATAATTTGTGTGTGTCTGGATATTGTGTCTATCTTCCATAGAAATCTTCTTAAAAATCTTCAGCTTCACTGGACTAGTACTTTTTACTACACTGACAAAAGGTACCATCCAGGCTACACATTCAGAAATGTTGTCCCATTCCAAACCTAGATAAAGTTAGAAAAATGTGAAGGCTACATTAGAAACTAACATATGCCTAATGTACTTGCTCTTGCTTCCAAATTCAAAGAGTTATTTTAACTCATTTATCAGTAAACTTAGCAAGTCAAAACAGATAATCATTCTCAAACTCTGTTTATAATTTTTCAACTTTGAGGGACAAAATGACTTAGAGCTTTTAACCAATACCTTCTACATATGAAATTGAAATTGTCAAAACCCAAAGAACTCTTAAGGCAGAGCTATAATGATGTTGATAAGTTCAGAGGGATTTAAATTTCCATTTGGCCTTATTTGTTTGTGGATTTAAGTGAGGATTAGAAAGTACTTCTAACAGAAGGGAAGGTAATCACTAAACTGCCAAGTTTTTTCAATTAAGTTCTCATTTAGCAAGATGTTAAAGTTAATAGTCTTTAAAAGTTTACAGGATAACAAAGTGTCTTACCTGCAGCTTTCTTAACCACCTCAATAGAGGTAAAATGGCACAGCGCGGCAGCAGCCAGTATTCGGTACTGGAACTCTAATGAACTGATGGCTAGAATACACAGATCTAAAAGCTAACAAAGGAAAAAGTAAAAGTACAAGTATTTAGGAGGAGAAGGATTGAGTATTACATGTTGCTACTAAATATCAGCTGACTAAGATTGTAGGTCATATGCCAAGAACTGCTAAAACTACAGAGACCCAAAGATAAATAAGCCACCACCCTGAGGAATTGGAGTCTTGGGAATGTAGGTCCGGAAGTAAATAGAAAATAAAGGGTTGTTATGATGCAGTGTGACATGTAGTAGTAGGAAGGAAGCGCACCCAATCCAGAGTGAAGTCAGGGAAGGCTTCCACTTAAATAAATCTTAAAGGACAAGTTAGCCAGGAAGATTGGAAGGTAGAGATTCGTCTAGGTATAGGAAACATTTGCAAAGATAAATGAGAAAGTATTATTTTCTCTTGGAACTCAAGTAGTTCACAACACTTAAAGTAAAAAATAAGCAGAGCACATTTCCTTCGTTCTTTATTTTTTTTTAATTTGGGGGTGAGGGTTAGTTGTAGAAGCATGGCCTGCCTAGATTAGATCATAAAGGGTCTTTAAGAAGTCAGAACCTTATAGTTATGCCTGATTATTGAAAATACTAGATTCAAATCAGGAAAGTTACATTTTAAGAATGATCCCTTAGACTATTGTGAAACAGATACACAAGAAGGGAACATGTTTCTAAACAGATTAGTTAAGAGGCAGTATAACTGAGTAAGGAAATATAAGGCTTTAATAGAGCTGAACAAGGAGCTATGGAATGGTATAAAAAGCCCAGATTTCAGAGGCCATAGGTAAAACCTGTCCAGTGGAAAACTTAATATTTGCCTCCATGGGTCCAGAAGGTAGAAACCATGAGGGGAGGAGTTGAAAATGAATTGTTACTATTTTATACCACTAGAAACTGTTTCTATGTTTATCAGCTTATCAAAGATTTACCCTCTGTATGCAAACGGTGTAGCTGCCTTTTGTAATCTGGGCTGCTGGGGATTCTGATGGAAAAATTAAGCTTTCATTAGGAAGTTCTACAAAAAGAGCCAATTCTAATATATTTACTGATTATCCAGCTTTAGTGTTCATAATGTGTTTACTAGACTTAAGTTAAATTTCAGCCTAGGTTACTTAAAACCCATCCCAAAATTCCATAATTGCTTCAATTCCATAATTGCTTCAATTCCATATGGGAGATTTTCATATCCTACATAGAATAAGAATGTGCACTTTCTTCACTAACATGTGGCAGTTCCAGTAGCCTTTAGATACTACTTAGCAGAAGTAGGCAGGTAAGAATGGTACCCCTTTCCTCTAATTAGTTACTTTGTTAGAATATTTGTTATATGCTGGCCTGGAAGTTTAATTCAAACTTAGAATATTTAAAAAAAATTTAACAGTAAGGTAATTTTAATTTTAATATATAAAATAGGTACCCTGTATATTTAAATTTAAAAAAATAAGATAATCATACAGAATAAGTTCATACTATTATAAATCCTAAAGACAGCTGGCTGAAAAATACTTTCCCCATTTTATATTTAACTGTTTTGGACTCCTAATGAATGAAAAATACTCCAAGTTTAAAAACTGTTCTAGAATTATTAAGGAACGTAAATAGAGGACAATTTCATGCATCAGAAGTTTTATTCTTGTCAATAAAGTGAATTTAATTCAGTATTCTGTTATTTTGTTTTTTAGCCTACTTAAAGACTAAATATACTAAACAAAACCTATAATTAACGATAATATTAGCCATGTACTCAATAATAATACCTGAGCTATTTGAGTGAACTTTTCCTGAGAATACTGAGGTAGAAGAATTTTATGAGCATCTTTAAGAGCATCAACTTGGAGGAAGAGTTTTAGCCAGGAGATGACTGTTACAGGACAAAGTTCCCATTTTAAAGCCTGTTAATAAAATTGAAAATGTGTTAATAAATGTAGGCATATAGACACATTATTTAACTATTAGGTAATCATTTAAACTTTCTTTGCTTTAGGCTTGTTTCTTCCTAGTAATTTTTTTCTGACCCCTTTTATTAAAAATATTTATAGATACCTCACAATCTAAACTGTCTTATTGATATAGACTCCTTTATTTTCTGGTGTCTTTATTTTACAAAGTTCATTCAGCCTATTACATCTCCACTTTTCTCATTTCATGTAGCACCTGCTCTTCCAAATCTGTTCTTTACTTTATTGCAACTGCCTTTTCCCTTGTATTCATTGATTTCACAACTAATTCCATTCAGATCTTCCAAGAACTGATTATAGACTTTCTTTATTCCAGTATCTCTAATGGCTCTGGTCAAAATGTAGAAGTTTTAAAAAAAAACAATGAATCCTAATTTATGATCTTTTTTCCATGAAGCCCTGGAACTTTACAATTTATAAGAAGTCTAAAATAAGAGAGATCAGTCTTAATTCCTATAGGACTGTGCAAGAATTTCATCTTACATTTACATCCGCCTTAGATACTTCAAGTCTGAATCTGGATACTTTTATTAGAACAGTATCACTAGGCCAACAAGATCCCATTCTAATAGAGCTGTCAATTTGTTTATAGTTTGTAAACATAATTTCTAATATATAAATTTATAATGTATATGTATATAGTTTAATTTGTGAAAGAAAGTCATATTGATTGTATTTTCTTGTCATCTTTAGAAACCTGTTAGGTCCAAATTTAATTATATAGTATTTCTAGTAGTAACTAATATTCACCCTTTTTTTTCTATTATATTTTATTTAAGTATAGTTGATTTCACCCTTTAATCACTAATTCAAGGTCTGACTAAACACCTTTGTGCTTCTCTCCACCCTTCTATTAATAGGCCTTTCTCTGCATATGGAAAGAAGAAAAAAGGCAGTGAAATAATTCTCATTATCTTCTAGAGGAAGGGAGAAATCAGAATTAAGATTTGAGATAATTGTTGGAATTCATTTATATACACAGGCTGTTAACTACCTGTGTTTTGAAAATGTCCTTAATCACTGTGAAATGAAGGAAGTAATACATTCTAAATATAGGAAACTTCAGACACAGAAAAAGAGTTTACAGATAAAGTAAATCCCACTTTCATCCATACCATTGTCAGTATTCAGATGGATTAACTTCTCTTTGAATTGGATCTTAATATTAACCTCAGTTTTGACTACTTAACACTATGTAGTCTTTAAGATTCAGTAATAACTTAAAAACTGCAGCTAGAAATAAAATATAATTATTACCTTTAATATAATGAGTTCCATCCTTAAGATATCCTCTTCACTGCAAGCACCATCAGTGACATAAGCAAACTCTTGAAGCTTAGGAGCATAGATTTCCTTTAGAACGAATGGGTTTTTTAAAATTAATATTAAGTACAGTTGAGATTGAGATTTAAAAGAAGTATATATAAACTATATACAGGCTTCATTTTTAAGGACAGTTTCACAAAGTGATTACAGATTTTAGTAAAACAATTGCTGTAAGAGCCAAAGCAACCTTACAAAGATATTTTTCATCTCTAGATACCTAAATTAACCAAATATTGATCAAGACTTATTTTCATAGAATTGGTCTTGAATCTTAAACAGTATTTTAGTCACTTATTTCAGTTAAACAAAAGCCAAACTTGTTATAAGTATATTGGTCAGACCAAAAAAAGACACTCAACAAGTAAGATCTAGAAACTGAAAACACTTCCTTAGTACATAAGAATGTTTTAATAAAAAAATAATGCAATTTGATGACATGTCTGTCTTAACAGTCCGGAGAAGCAACAACTAGAATGATCAAAGGAATAGAAGAGATGCTTGCCACAGATGAGAACAGGCTAAAGATGATTTTAGTGTAGAAAGATACCTGAAACAGTATGGTTTCAGATAAGGATAGACTGAATACAAACTTACTTAACAAATTTGGCAGAATTTGGGGATAGGCCTTAAAGTTCAAAAGACAAACTTGGAAGGAAAATACACGTAAGGAAATTAAATGCATGAATCATAGTCCTCATCAAAATAATACAGGCTTGAAGAATTTCAGGTGAAGGTTTTAATGATATCCTCAATGTGTTGTCTAAGAAAAGTAGATGGAAATTGTGTGAAGGAAAATCTCAGGCAGGAAAAGAGTTGCCTTTTATCCTGGTAACACCCTCAGACACAGAACTGTTAGGCTGGCTATAAACCATTATTTCAACCCAACAGTATTTATTTCATTTGATTGGTTTTTTATTTTTAAAGACCATTCTGTTGAATCCAAATGCCATAATTATGTGTAATAGAAGCAGTGTTGGTCATGAGCCATTTCACCTAAACACCAATTCCAGAATGTAAACCAGAGTTATAAGAGGCTCAAATACTGCAAAGGGAACTATGGTATTTATCCTTCCATCTAAATCATAATGTTAAAAAAATGTATTGACGAAAGAAAAAAACCTTGCCCAAGGAGTTAATATCAAAAGTACCAGTATTCTCTAGGACTAATGTGTTGATTAATAAAATTTTGGGATAAACTTTGAGAACTTACCTCAAGTTTGGAAGCAATGAATAATGAGGTAATTCCAATGAGCTGAAGCATATTTTTATTTATATCCTTTTGTGTCAACATAAATCTATCAAAAAAGTCTTGCGCAAGATAAAATGTTTCCCTATGCAGTGTGTATACTTCACATACCTGGAGAAAAATCCAAACATTTAATTATTATTCCATGAATTTATCCAAATTAGGAAATTAACCATTTAGCATAGCAGACTTAAGAATACTTTTTAAGCCCACCTTTGCTTTTTTAGTATACCAAAGTTAAGATGAGGGGGGTGGTATTAATACATACTAATAGGGTAAACAATTCAATTACTGTCCTCATTTACTCTTAGTAGTTGTTAGTTTTTTTCATATGGGCCTAATGCATCTATTCCGATACATTTATACTTTCTGACTATGAATGAGAACTCTTCTGTTAATTTCCTAATTGTTTAGTGCTAACAAATGGGTGAATTTTTATGTTTAATTTATATTATTCTAATAGTGCCAATTGATATAGCTGATTGTCTTCATCATTCTAGGAGACTGCAATGACAGCTGTTTCTTTCAATACTTCTATCTTTTCATGTTTTACTGCACTGGCTTAGAATATTGAAGAAAACTGAGTAATTCTGGTGATAGACAACATCTTTATCTTATCCTGTGTTTCTGATTATTATGGGAATTCCCCTAATATTTCACTATTTCTAATTTCCACATTTACTATAGGGGAAAGCTTTTAATTGTGAAAATAACTCCATGAAATAGGGAACATTATCCCCATTTTGAAGATGAAACCGAGGGATAGAGATAAATGAGTTTCTATTAAACACATATGTGTAAAGGAAGTCTTCTAGTTCTAGTTTACTATACATTTTAAAATCAGGAATGGGTATTGAATTTCAAAAAAAAATGTCTTTCACATCTAATAGGAGACCTTAGAATTTCTCCTTTAAACTATTAAGGTAATAAATAGATTTTCAATTCCTGAACTGAATACACTAAGAAAAAATAGAGTTTAACACTCCTCTGTATTTATTCTATTTGGTTTTTAATATGTAAACTTTGAGAGAAAATAGGTATAAATTTGACACAACAATTACTGGATAAGAATCAACATAACATAAAAAGCTAAAAAGTAAAAAAATACAACACAATTGTGCTTAAGTTGCTTCCATGATCCCTATGCATTCAGAAAAAGTCAAAACCCAACTACCTTTTTATACTCACATGATTGTAGAAGCTTTCATTCTGGTCATAATAAGGAATAAGATGACCTGACTCAAAAAGACAACGTTTTGTAGTCTTAAGAACTTTTCTGGTAGTTTCTAAAATTTACTCGGCCATGTGTTACACACCAAAAAGCCTAGTCTTTCCCTTTTTAAAATGTGTTACGTCTATCTTAAAAACAGGGAAACTACATAGTAACTCTCCAAGCGTTGTGGGAAAATCAGGTTGTTGTCAACACAAGTTTTCCTTAATAATATGAGAGACTCTTAAAATTATTTTCCAGAGAAAGGGAATGGGCCTAAACAAGTGAGAAAATTCTGGCACTAATCTTTAGGGCCTTCAGGATCACTGTTACTCCTTTAGACTAATGGTACAGTGTATTTCTGAAAGGAATAGAGGTTATGTGATAATGGGAAGCTACATGGAGCCTAGAAGGCTTCTGGCTTCTGGCCATTCAAAGTTTCCTTATCGTTTAGGACATAGAAATCAGGATTCTAAATTGTAATTTGATTTTGGTGACATAGCAAAGAACTGAGGGCCCTGAAGCCTAGTCCTGGTTCTTTACTTTGCATAGCAGAATTCAAAATCTTGTTAGCTATATATGCTGTTTATCTTAATTATCCTTAACACCTAGAACAGTGCCTGGTACATAGCAATACCCACAGGTACCACAAATCCTGAATTGGGTTTGGGTTGTATGTGATGTAGTGGTTGTGTCCTCATGACTTTACTCTTACATAGTAGACATTTTCCATTTTGGTATCCTCAATTATAGTTAAGTATCCCAAAGGAGATGGCAATGATAGGGTACATAGGAGCACATTTATGTCTAAATAGTTTTCCATCATATAGAGACAAAGGAAATTCGTATTGTTGGAACAGGAACATACCTCTAAAAGCCAGTCTAGAAGTATTGACCTCATCTGTGGTTCCAAGTCGGAGTGTAGAGCTTCAAAATGTTTGTCATGAACATACCTGGTCTCTTTTTTTAACATGTTTAACCAAACCTCTTTTGAACATCCCCAGCTATGCAAAGGAGAAAAACAAATAATTTGTGTGATCTACACATATACAAGGTATCTGTTTTATATATAATAAACTCAGATTTTAGACACTGAAACCCAACTTTCAATTATAACTTGGAAGGAGACGCTCTTAGGAAAAAATGCTACGTTAACTACCAGAAACCATTTTTTCAGCATGAAAACCTAGAAGCCTGAAATTACACAGCAAGAACTTGGACTATGATAATCTAAGTTGATAGATTTTAAAAGAGTGCTTTCTAGTCCCCATTGATTTACAAAGTATAAAGTTTCTTGTTTAACTGTGTTTTCTCAAACCAACGCTGAAAAGGTAAATATTAAAGCACATGTTCCCTGTAGAGACAAGTCTCAATCATCTGCAAATAGATCATCAGTAATAGAATTACCTACAATTGGGGGTGGGGGTAAGATGGGACAGAGTATGGGGAGTAGAAGGGTTGGCGGGTCTTGCTTATTAAAGCCAAATATAAATTACTACACTGCATGTTCTGTATAAGCTGTACCTCTTTCACTAACTAGAAAAAAGTATAGACAAGCTTGGTAAGAAACAATTGATACATCAAATGAAAATGCTGTATATGTTAAAATGCTTCCATCTTAAGAATTTAGATAAATTATACTCCATTAAAAGGGTGACTCAGTTCTGATAAGGTTTACAATTTAGATAAATTATACTCCACTAAATTTAGATAAATTATACTCCATTTAAAGGGTGACTCAGTTTTGATAAGGCTTACTCAGCAAACAGATGAAAGTATGGAGTCAAATGTTTTAAAGACCCTTACCATTTACAAAAATCACTACTCTCGTGTAAATATTAGCATTTTAATGAGTTTTTCTATCTGTAATGAAGGCAAAATCTCAATAGTGTCATGTATTAAATCAGTACAATTTTATTTTGACATTAAATTACTGAAATTTTTCTTACCTTAAATCAGGCAGAGGTAAAGGATTAATAAAAAGATTTTTAAATCTGTAATTCGTAAATCTTGAGAAGTCACTTGTTTGTAATTCTTTGTGGGGTGTTTCAATGATAAAGCAAGGACTGATCCCCCCAGATAATACAGGTGGCCAACAATTCTGTTATTAAAAAAATAAAAAGAATATGAACAGAAAGCTTTTGTCTTTGTTCAAAAATGGAAGCAAGTATTTCTAAAGTGTATAATTTTCCCCAAACACCATCATCAGCTAATATTGCTGACAATATAGTTAATCTGATATGTACTTTATAAATAAGCTATATAGCTCATACAGATCTTCATAAAGAATAATAGATGGGATGTTTCAGTCAAAATATATTTCTGGAAACACAAGATGTTAGGTCTTAGGGGAGGGGAAGAAAACAATTATCTGGTCAAATACTAATCACTTTCCAGGATTATAAACTAGAAGTTCTCCCTCTGTATTTAGCAGTAGTGGCAAGGGCACCTTGTTTTATAAAAAGCTATTTCCCAATTAAGCCTACTCTGATACTTTAGAATACCTGAAGGCAAAAACTTGAAAACTGGATCTAGTGTAATCACTTGAACTAAAGGATGGGAAGGGAGGGATAATGGGGAAAAGGGGGCATTACTATTAGCAGACATAATGTAGGGAGGAGCACAGGGAGGGCTGTACAACACAAAGAAGGCAAGTAGTGACTCTGCAGCATCTTACTACACTGAATGGGGTGTGTGGTGGGGACTTGATAATAGGGGGAGTCTATAACCATAATGTTGCTCATGTAATTGCACATTAATGATATAAAAAAATAGTTAAAGGACCCTTTCCTCAATAAGTGTTGGTTTCAAAGAGAACCACTGTCTCTTAAGATGTTTTCTGGACAACACATAGAAAAGGAGGTAGCGATGGGCTGGGTGCCAATCTTAGGGACTTAAACTATTTATGCCCCAAGAAGCCGCTGTTAAGGACCCTCTTGCTGTAGTCAGAGAGGGAACAAAGAGCAGTACATTGGACAGATTAGGCGGGCCCTGGTGCACCAGGCAGCTCCATGAGGGAGGGTTTTACAAAGAGGAACCAGCTGCTTCAAGCAAACTTACTCTGCAGCTGTAGTAGAATTTCAGGCAGATAGAAACCACCCGAATATGAGCATCTTCCTGCTGACTTCTGGGGCCTTTATAAGTGCCAGAGGATTCTACTGCAAAGCAGTAACACAATTCAATTCTTACCCATCTTGCATTTCTTTCTCCCAAACCCACCCAGCCCAGCTCTGCTTTACCCTTATCTCATACTGATGTTTCTTGGTGACCTCCTCTTTCCTTTTTTTGACATCCTGGAAAATAGAAAAGGCCACTGTTAAACAACGTTCCAGCAAGGATTTCTCTCCTCTCTCTCCCTCTCTCCCCTTAACTCACCTGGGCTATTTTTCTCCTCTTGGCCTGTGGGGAATCCGTCTGGCTGGGCTGGGGCTGCCTCTTAGCTTGTAAACGGCTACTGTAATAAATTTTTTAAAAGGAAGTTTAATTAGTAAGTCATGCCTTTCAAACGCAGCAGCTAAATTTGACATATCTAAGCATATCTCCAAGACAGTGTTACCTGCGTCTTGACATTCTCTTCTTTCAAGTGTTTGGAACCTCTGGAGGGGAGAGGAAAAAAAAACCAAAGTCATCCATATTCTTCAAGGGACCAGTTAGACACTGATTCAGAGGTTACAGTCAAGTTCCTCAGGAGATGGTCTGAGCCATTTTACCATGCTGTTTTCTGCATTATATTAGTTATCTCGTGGTATTAATTTTGGAAATATCCTGCATTTCCACAACCGAATGTACAGCCGGGACGCGATTGTCAAAAACTTAGAAAGCATCCCCCAACAACCCGAATACCCAGGGAGGCAAATCTCCCCCAAATTGGTCTTTCCTGCACCCTCCACCCTCTCTCTACCCTGCACAACCCGAGAGGGGCTTGGGCACTCCCACGTCCTCCCTTCCATCCTGAGCAAGCCACCGAAGAGGGGGTTGTGGAGGCGAAACGTTGTGGAGAAGCCGGTTCCGCGCCAATTTGGAGAGCGGCAGTGGCGGGGAAGCAGGGGGCGGAGGGAACGAAGACTTGTGTCACGTCCTTCAGTCGCCTTTCCCTCCTTACCAGCTCCATCGGGCCCTGCCCGTCGCTTGGAGGGGCACCGGGACCCTGACTCCAGATTGTTGGGGGAGGGGAGTGAAGGACATGGGGCTGGTTGGGGAATTTTCTCCCGGTGAAAGGAACCAAGACCCCATGCTCTCTCCCGCGGGATAGCTCCGCAAATTGAAGGTGGGAGAACGGAGCCCCTAGGATGAGGGGATTTTCCGCGGCCGCCTACTTAGGGGCAGCCCTCCACCCCACCATCCCCCACCTCCCGGCTTCCCCGATCCCAGCCAAGAATCCTGACAGGGACGGAAGGCGGGCGCCTCTACCCCTCAGCCACCTAATGCTCAGCCTTCACACTTTTCCTCTCCCACGGTCCTGCCTGAGGGATGGATCGGCCCAGGGAGGCTTGCTTTCCTCTCGCATCCCGCCCTACACCCAGCACCTCCTCACCGCCAGACCCGCTACCGCTCCGCTCTCAGCTGGCGCCGGCGCCAACCCAATATATACACCAGGCCAGGCCCGCCCCGCACGCATGCGCCTCAGACTGACACCTCCGGACAGCGGGCTCAACTCTCCCGCGCGCTCGCCCGCCCGCCTCCGAGGCTCGCGCGCCGCGCTCTACTCAGTCCGCGACCGCCCACCCCGAGGGCCGCTAGCCCAGGCCCTCTCTCCGCGTTCACCTGCGCTCCACTTCACCTGCTCTAGAGGCCCGCGGGGCGGGAGGGAGTCACTCAGAGGCTCCTCCTCCTTGGCCAGGCTCCCCGCCGCCCGGCTTCCGCATCTCCCGCCAGTACGTTCCTGTCCCCTCCCTCCCTCAACCCCGGGATTCCGGGGGTGTCGGGCCGCGGCTCAGCACCGGCGTACGGCCAGGTAGGGCCAGCTCCGGCGAGCATACTGCAGCCAGGAAGTGGCCGTCCTGGGGCGCACCCTAGCTGTCGAGCCAAGGCCTCAGAGAACCCGGGTCTTGCCTAAGGGACGCGGGGACCCGAAGGCCCGCCTCTTCGGGAGGAGCGCCGCAGCGGCTGGCGAGCTGGCCAATGGGAGACGGGGATGGCAGCACAACGTGGAGCTGCTGCAGAATGTAAACACAGCCGGCTGCGCTGCGGGACACGTGTGTCCCAGAGCGCCCCTAGTGCGGTCGGGCCCCGCGGGCCACCAGGACCGGCCGTGGCACCCCCGAGCAGCCATGTTCAGGGGTGCTTATTTGCACTTTGCTCCAGCCTGCCGACAGAGGTACATATCAACCCTATTTTCTCATTTCCTGCGCGCCTACCGTGGGCTCCGTACGCTCCGCACCCTTCCTCGCCCCGCCCGGCTTCCCACTCTAGTCCCCACCCTGGAAACCCTCGCGCTAGGCCGCGCGCTCCCTTCCTTGGGGACCCAACACCCCCCCCACCCCCCACCCCCCCGCTCAAGGTAAAACACCTCTACAGAGTGGGGCCGGGAATAGCATTCCCTTTCTCCAGGAGAGCGGTGGGTTTAGGGGAGCATGCGGGGCAGATAGGTTTCGCCACGTGCAGGCCCCGGGCCCGCCAGCCCGCCCCGCCCCGCCCCGCTCCGCCAGCGCGCCCTGTGGAGCCCGCGCGAGCAGCCCGCGCGGTATAGGGAGCCGCCGCCTCCGAGCTGTAATGGGAGGAGGCGGATCCGACGCATTTCCTTTTCTTTACCCCCATATTTAAACTTAGGGGTGCTTTCGATACCTCTGTTAACGCTTGCGCCAACGCACCCCAAGACTGGCCATCCCCAAGTAAGACACACTTATTACTCCCAAAACAGATTTTGCAGCGGAAGCAGTGGGGCGGGGGTCGCCTACGGGAACAAAGGCCCCTGGGGCGGAGCAACCGAGTGGAGGCTCTCCTGGACCCGCGGCGGCAAGGACCGCACACGGGCCTGCCGCGTTTTTCTCAGAGCCTTGGCTCGGAGTGAGCCGCTGGGAGGGGCGCGGGAGCCCTTCCCGAGATGCACGCGGCCCGCCCGAGTGCCCAACACGGTGCCCGCCCCGCGCTTTTGTGCTGCTGGGTCCGGGAGGCCCTCAGAGCCTAGAAATAACGAGTGTTGTCTGGGGCTTTCGGACCGGCACAGTCCTCTTCTTCATACTTTCTCTTTCGATTCTTAAAACACTCTTGTGAAGCTGGCAAAGTAATTTTTCTCCCAAATGTACGCATGAGGAAATAATCTTGCCCAAGGTGACTTTGACTCAGAAGAAACCCAGAATCTTGCCAGTCTCAGTAAAGTTTGTACCATTTAATGCTTTTGATAGCTCTCCCGTTAGGGGAGAAATTGCCCGCCCTCCCCTAAAACCTTGTTACACAGTGTAGAGCTTAGAGAGCTAACAGCTTGGTGATAAGAAAAGAGAGGTCTTCCAACAGGCTTTATCTGAGCATGAGCAACTCTGGGGGCCTAAATGAGTGAATTCGATAATCAAATATACTGAAAACCAGAGAGGTGGATTAACATTTGTAGAATTAGACCTGGAATATTTTATGCTCAGTACTGGGCCAACTAGAAATTGTAGACGAGAAACTGTAATGAAAAATGTACTTTGGTCGATGCCCTTAACTGTGATGTGAATGAACAGAGAGCAATCATAGTAAAGGAAAAATAGAAACGATCCCAAGACTGCTCTGTAAATAAATCAGGCCTAGCCCCATGCTTCTGTGCCTTCTGGAAATGAACAGGGTGAATTCTGCCATATAACAAATACCTGGTCAGTGATCAAGTGGGACCGAAAAGAACATAGGCTCACCTCTCAGACAGAGGTTTCAGTCCTACTATGCTGTAAATGACCAAATCTTGCTGAGCATGAGTTTCCTTTAGGAAAGATGTAACAGGACTCCTAATTCAAGGGTTTAGGATTAAATGTAATAATGTATATAGAGACCCTCCCTTACCTATGTACGGAGCAGGTGCTTAGTGCCAGCTCTTTGCTTTCCTGCCACCCGCGCCTTACCAGTTTTTTACGCGTATAAATGAAGAAGTAGTTTTAAGGAACCTGAAAAAACAGAAAGCTGAATTTAAAAATTGCTCTTTCCAGAATTTTGTTTGTGTAATTATCCTTTTGAGTACCTATTTTAGGCATTATCTTTCAGGGTTTGATATTTTTATATGTTCATATTTAGCCCCCTTTTTTTACCACGAGTCCAGTTTTTAAATACATTTACTTTGAAGTGTATGAAATTCCTTTATCCTTGAAATAATTTTGGAAAATTTGGCATTTTCTAAAGTGTATTTTCCCTAGTATTAATAACAAGTTAAAACACTATGGTGAATAAAGTATTTGCCTCTACAGTGCTTTCATTTTCAGAAAAAAAGGGGAAAAAAAAACCAGGAAGATGTTTAGAGGCACAGGTTTAAAAATAAATCAGGCCTAGCCCACTTATTTCATGCTTCTGTGCTATTCTTTTATTATTAATTATTATTATTATTAAGGTATTATTGATATACACTCTTATGAAGATTTCACATAAAAAAAACAATGTGGTTACTACATTTACTCATATTATCAAGTCCCCACCCATACCCCAATGCAGTCACTCTCCATCAGTGTAGTAAGATGCCACAGATCCACTGTGTGCCTTCTCTGTGCTACACTGTTCTCCGCGTGAACCCCCACACCACGTGTACTAAACATAATACCCCTCAATCCCCTTCTCCCTCCCTCCCCACCCGCCCTGCCTCACCCCTCCCCTTTGGTAACCAGTAGCCCCTTCTTGGAGTCTGAGTCTGCTGCTATTTTGTTCCTTCAGTTTTGCTTCCTTGTTATACTCCACAAATGAGGGAAATCATTTGGTACTTGTCTTTCTCCATCTGGCTTATTTCACTGAGCATAATATCCTCCAGCTCCATCAATGTTATTGCAAATGGTAGGATTTGTTTCTTTCTTATGGCTGATTATATTGTGTGTATGTACCACCTCTTCTGTATCTATTCATCTACTGATGGACCCTTAGGTTGCTTCCATATCTTGGCTATGCTAAATAGTGCTGCAATAAATATAGGGATGCATATGCCTTTTTGAATCTGAGAAGTTGTATTCTTTGGGTAAATTCCAAGGAGTGGGATTCCCGTGTCAAATGGCATTTCTATTTTTAGTTTTTTGAGGAACCTCCATATTGCTTTCCACAATGGCTGAATTAGCTAGCTTACATTCCCACCAGCAGTGTAGGAGGGTTCCCCTTTCTCCGCATCCTCGCCAGCCATTTGTTGTTCTTAGTCTTTTTGATACTGGCCATCCTAACTGGTGTGAGGTGATATCTCCTCGTGGTTTTAATTTGCATTTCCCTGATGATTAGTGATGTGGACTCTTTTCATGTGTCTGTTGGCCATCTGAATTTCTTCTTTGAAGAACTGTATCTTCATATCCTCTGCCCATTTGTTAATCGGGTTATTTGCTTTTTTGGATGTTGAGGCGTGTGGGTTCTTTATATATTTTGCATGTTAACCCCTTGTTGGATATGTCATTTAGAAATATATTCTCCTATACTGTAGGATGCCTTTTTGTTCTGTTGATGGTGTCCTTTGCCATACAGAAACTTTTTTGTTTGATGTAGTCCCATGAGTTCATTTTTGCTTTTGTTTCCCTTGCTCGAGGAGATGCATTCAGGAAGAAGTTGCTCATGCTTATATTCAGGAGATTTTTGCATATGTTTTCTTCTAAGAGTTTTATGGTTTCATGACTTACATTCAGGTCTTTGATCCATTTTGAGTTTACTTTTGTGTATGGGGTTAAACAATAATCCAGTTTCATTCTCTTGCACGTAACTGTCCAGTTTTGCCAACACCAGCTGTTGAAGAGGCTGTCATTTCCTCATTGTATGTCCATGGCTCCTTTATCGTGTATTAATTGACCATATATGGTTGGGTTTATATCGGGGCTCTCTAGTCTGTTCCATTGGTCTGTGGGTCTGTTATTGTGCCAGTATCAAATTGTCTTGATTACTGTGGCTTTGTAGTGGATCTTGAAGTTGGGGAGCATAATCCCCCCAGCTTTATTCTTCATTCTCAGTATTGCTTTGGCATTTGGGGTCTTTTTTTGGTTCCATATGAATTTTAGAATGATATTCTCTAGTTTGTTGAAGAATGCTGTTGATATTTTGATAGGGATTGCATTGAATCTGTAGATTGCTTTTGTCAGGATGGCCATTTTGACAATATTAATTCTTCCTACTGAAGTGCATGAAATGTGTTTCCATTTATTAGTGTCCTCTTTAATTTCTCTTAGGAGTGTCTTGTAGTTTTCAGGGTGTAGGTCTTTCACTTCCATGGTTAGGTTTATTCCTAGGTATTTTATTCTTTTTGATGTAATTGTGAATGGAATTGTTTTCCTGATTTCTCTTTCTGCTAGTTCATTGTTTATAGAAATGCCACAGATTTCTGCATATGAATTTTGTATCATGCAACTTTGCTGAATTCAGATATTAGATCTAGTAGTTTTGGAGTGGATTCTTTAGGGTTTTTTATGTACAATATCATGTCATCTGCAAACAGGGACAGTTTAAATTCTCCCTTACCAATCTGGGTGCCTTTTATTTCTTTGTGTTGCCTGACTGCAGTGGCTAGGACCTCCAGTACTATGTTGAATAGAAGTGGGGAGAGTGAGCATCCTTGTCTTGTTCCTGATCTTAAAGGAAAAGCTTTCAGCTTCTCGCTGTTAAGTATAATGTTGGTTGTGCGTTTGTCATATATGCCTTTATTATGTTGAGGTACTTGCTATCTATACCCATTTTGTTGAGAGTTTTTATCATGAATGGATGTCGAATTTTGTCAAATGCTTTTTCAGCATCTGTGGAGATGATCATGTGGTTTTTTCCCTCTTTTTGTTGATGTGGTGGATGATGTTGATGGGTTTTCAAATGTGGTACCATCCTTGAATCCCTGGAATAAATCCTACTTGATCATGATGGATGATCTTTTTGATGTATTTTTGAATTGGTTTTGCTAATATTTTGTCGAGTATTTTTGCATATATGTTCATCAGGAATATTGGTCTGTAATTTTCTTTTTTTGTGGTGTCTTTCTGAGGTAATAAAACCACAGTGGTGCTATGGTAAGCTCCACTTTGAGGTTTCCCATTGTGTTAACTCCTGCGATCCTCCACCAACACTACATGACATGTGCTATTACTGTCATCCCAGTTCACAGGTCAGGCAACTGAGGCACGAATGTAAGCTACCCAACACCCACAGGGGAGTCTGACTCTGGTGTCCCTGTGCTATCCTGCCTCCAGTTACCAC